ATTACCCAAACTGGGCAAGGCCTTCCCTGACTCTTATAACCTTACTTACTAAGTCCCATGATCCTCCAAGTACGGTACTACGACAACCAAGCCCCCGCCAAAAAAGAAAGGTTCGAGTCCCCGATCCGTTAAGCCGGAGCCTCCACCACATAGCACCCCTATACAAGCACGGTTTAGGGTTTAGGGTAAGCATAGATCCTTAACAATGTCTTAGACTTTTCCTTATGGCTCTCACTATACATGATGGTTGTAAGTTATAATATGCTATATCCCACAGCCCCTATGAGCATGATTGAGGCCCCTAAACCTTAGACCCCACACCCTAAAGCCTAAACCCTATAATAGGGGGTGCCAAGTCCAGGGACATCTGAATGTGGGGCGTGCGCCCCAATCTGCGACCGGGAAATGGGGAGGATAGACAGCTCCTCGGGCTCACTTTAAGGGTTTAGGTAGCTTAGGGTCTAGGGCTTCGTGCTCAGGGTTTAGGGTTGACGGAGATTAGGTTAATTCTCAATGTTAGGGTTTACGGGGTTTAGGGACTTTAGGGTTTAGGGCTGAGTGCTCAGGGCTTAGGGAGTTTAGGGTTCAGGGTTCTGGGTTTAGGGTTTAGGAGTTAAGGGCGTACCGTGTCTAAAAACCCTGCCTCTTTAGGGCTCCTTGTTGCGAACTTCCTCACCAAAGCCCCGAAAAAGGGTAGGTTTTTGGGTTGAGGCTGTAGGATACATCCGCAAGGACCGGGACTTTGCCAGCCACTCACTAAGATGGTCATGACAATGCTTGAAAGATCAGAGGGCTTTACAAGGCGACCGGATACTAGGTTCGAACAGATTACAATCGTTCAAATCCGCCTACTTGCATAGCGCCACTTCTCCTCAAAGTAGCGGGCCTCCCGAAAAAATATATCCAGACAATGCACAAAGGACGACAGAACGAGTTCTCAAATACATGGCGTTGCGATTATGGTGGCCCCCCCACCCTCCCCAGCTTCTGCAGCTCCTCATCAAGGGAGCCAAGCCTGCGACAAGATTCGAGCATAAGGTTTGGGTTCCGGTCTTCGGGGTTTTCGCTTTGGGCTTTGGGGCTTTGGGGCTTTGTACTGGAAAGGGGCTGAGTCGGGCTGAGAGTTGGTAACCACGGCCAACTCGAAAAGAACGATGGAAACCTCTCAACGGAGCTGAAAACAGATCACACAAACGCCGCGACAGAGGTCGATGTCGCAAAGCAGATCCAACCGGCGCAGTTGCCTCCGTCATTTGCTTCCGATCTTCGAAACAACCTTGCTCTAGTCGCACACTGGAAGCCACGAAACTCTGCAACACAAGCCTTTAACCACAACATCGTAAAACACACAAAGCCCCCAAATTCAACGTAAGCTCCGCTTACAGAAGGCGATGTCGGCGAGCGGAGAAGCGGACTCGAATAGAATACGAACACACTTGAGCGTCGGGTTTCCACCTGAACATGACAGAATCCGCTCTCCGAATTAAAGATACGGTGGGGAACTGATGTACACAGCTTAAGCAGGTGCCACTGCCGGTCCTGCAAACGCGAACATGGTCACCCTTTACGGAGACCCCGCCTGGCAACCAATCGAATGGATGTGAAACACCGCTACTTGCGGACTTTTTGAAACCAAGATCCCTGAAGCTATAGCGAGCCCACTCAGGGTTTATAAGGGTAGTTCTCTAAATTTAGGACCCCTTTTTGGGTCCGCAATGTAGTACGGAACCCTGAAAAAAGGACCCTAAGAGCGACCCGAATTTAGAGAACTACCCGATAAGTCTTACAAACTGACGCAGGCTCCGTAGTATCCCAGGGGCGTGTGGTAGCTGAAGCTGGTCACCGGCTTCTCAAACTGCGACTCCGAGGATTTCTCCTTGGCAGCGGCTGTGGCAGGCCAAGAGCCCCTGAACCCCACACCCTAAACCCCTCAACCCTAGACCCTAAACCCTAAACCCCAAACGGTTTGGGGATTAGGGTTTAGGGTTCAGGATTTAGGGTTTAGGGTTCCCAAACTTATAAACCCTAAACCCTAAGCCCCAAACTTATAAACCCCAATGCCCTGCCCTGCCAATCTCCAGGTCCCACATTCCCTCCGAGCCCCGGCGGAAGTTTACGATTCCCAGGTGCCGGTCTTTCCAATAGCTTGGCTGCACCGTAAAGATTACTCCACACAAATTGCGACCCACAGCCACCGAAACCCTTGAATTATGGAATAGAGCTTTAAAAAAGCGGCTCTACTGCATGGTTTAACATTTCTTCCTCAACTGAGCCGTTTTGAGTCTTACTGGGCACAGAGAAGAACTGCATGTCCGTTGGAACGCTCTCTCACGGACTGCCATGGAACCCAGCTTCAACATGTAAGCTGCTGTCAACCTTACTAACACTCCCTAAAGCAGGACCCAGCTGCGCCTTCCATAGAGCTGATATGTCCACAGTGCTCAGGCAGGATCACGCACGACAGTGAAAACGCTGGGTAGTATGGAGTCCTATACACTACAACGGGCGGTGCCTAAGTCTGTCGCTGTCTAAGCCCAAGGATCCAGCTGCGCACCCAGAGATCGGAGTACAGCACCTCAAGCTGGCAATCCAAAGAAACAAAAGTCTTACAGTGTTTTGGGTGTTAGCTTTTTGGATTTGGGCGGTGTAGGGTTCTAGGGGTTAGGGTGCTGGGGTCTTGGTTTATGCTGGCTGCGAAAGCAGTAGCAAACATACGCTCGGTATTTTTTTGGAGCTTCATGTTCTATTTGTACCTAGTTTTCTGAAGGTAAAGCTTGTATATGATCTTTTGGGCATCGTGCGAAAGCTAATTGGTAGTTGGTAGGTCATGATTTCCACGGCTTGAAAGCGCAATCTTCCGAGCTCCTTCACATGAACCTGATCCTGCCAGGATTCCAGGGTCCGGCGCCCGGAGGTAAGACGGCCATAGATAGTGATTCTCGTGCAGCAAAAAGGCAGGCAAGGCTTTTTGACAAGATTCGAAGCGCTTGCGAAGATTCCTGGAAAGCCTGCGACTACCTTGAACAATCCATGGCGACTCGCCAGTGAGCTGAAAAAGCCAAACTGCGCCGCGCTATCGAGGATTCTAAAGCCGCCCGATCCAGATCCTGGACCTCTCTGCGAAACCCACCTTAACCCTGAACCCTGAGCCCTACAGAGCAACGGAGATGCACCGAGGCACTCTGCATCTCCGTCATGGAGGGCACTTTGCCCTCTGACAGAGACAGAGATGTCACAGGCCCGGGGAAGTCAGCCTGAGTCCTCTCGAATTGGGAACTTCGTCCGTGCATCAGGAGCACACGGGTTAAGGTGTCCAGCGATAAAACCCTAAACCCTAAACCCTGAACCCTAAACCCTAAACCCTAAACCCGAAACCCTAAAATCCCTAAAAATTGGGTTTAGAGCTTTGGGGTGTTTGGGTGCTTATAGCTTTAGGCTTGCAAGGTCTACGGTTTCAGACCCACGGGCTTGGGGTTGGCTTCTTTATGGCTCAAACCTGAGCCCTAAACCCTAAACCGTAA